GGGGACTCTTGTATACCCCCTAGCTGCACCACCGTCGAGGGTGGTGAGGGAGGAGGAACCAGCAGGTCGGTTTCCGGCAGTAAAAGGTGCCATCCATGACCTGGTGAGCTGCTCATGCACCTCCGGAAAGAAAGGCACTGAAGCAGGGCGCTGAGAACCAGTGCGAGCCACCCCGAGAAACCAATCGTCCAACCTCGAGGGCCCGGGACGCGGTGAAGGTTTCCACTCGAGCCCTGCCTTACCCTCTCGGCGGCCTGGGAAAGCATAGCCGACATCTCTGGATCCGATTCAGGCCTTGACACTGTCCCGGAGGGCGGCAGCGCAGCCAAATCTTCCTCTCCAGAAAGCTCTCCCTCCGATGCAGTAATCGGCATCCGGTCATCGGGAGGAGCACCTAAGGATACTGCTGGTATGCTCTTTGAAGAGGGCCCAGCACGTTCCTTTGGCAGCTCAATTGGTTGCGAAGCGCTAGAGGAGCGATGGTCCCCCGAGGGGTTTGCCACCACTGTAACCCTCAGACCGCCCACGCTACTGCCCGAAGTAGTCCACGCCTGGCTGCCGCCAGGACGAGCACTAGATCGCGGCAGAGGCAATGGAGCTCCGCCCCCCTGGAGGAAACGGAGCCTGGCCCGCAGCTGAGATGGTCATCTTCCCGCAATGGGAACATAACTCAGCCGCGAACGCCACCTCAGCGTGCTTAATGCCCAGACACACGAGGCAGCAATCGTGACCATCACCCGGCGCCAGGTAACGACCGCATCCAGAAACGGCATCTTTAAAAAGACGATCCGTCGTCTTTACGAAGACGCACTAGTTTATTGTACTCTTTTAGAGAAATTGGCTTTTTTAGGGAAATGCTCTTTTACGTGCTGAGACGCACAGGGGAAATGGCCGTTTGCAGCACGACAGGGGGTAGAGTGCAGCCTGAAGTGCGCAACCCACTCGACACAGGAACGACCACTGCTGAAGCGCCGTCCGCCAACACAAGAAGCTCCCTAGAGCGCGCTAAACTCGTCACACACGAAGCAGTTGGTAGGAGCAGAACTATGTTGTTGCTCGGCTCCGAAGCGAAAAGCTGGTATGCATTGCACTGGCTGCCTTTTTATGCTCACACTGTGATCAGCGGCAGCTGGATGCAATAATTGCATGCCAATGTGCATTGGCTC